GAGGCCTGGCCCAGGGGGCTGCTTCGCGGGCAGTTGAGCGGCCGTTGGCGGCTCAAACGGGCAGAGCCGTTAACGTGCGGACCAGACACCGCGTTAATAAAGACGCTCCCGCGGGGACGCTTGGCCCACCTTGGGTTTTTCTGTTTGTTTGTTTTTTTTGTTTTGGTTTGTTTGTTTTGTAAACGGACTCTAGGCCGGGGGTGTAACTGGGGGGAAGGGAGGTCCGGGTTGGGCTGTCCTGGCCAGCTGAGAAACCCACTGCCCTTAAACCGCTCCCGCGGCTCCGTTCTGACCTTTTCCCAACTTTCTCGGAAGGACCATGTAAAGGCTTCCTTGGGAATCTCGCTGCTTTGCGTGGAGACAAGTTTTGGGGCAGTTTAGCATCAAAGTCTGTTTTTTAGACTCCTCTTCAGATTTTCCTTAAAAACATAAACGTTTGCAAACTAGATGGCGAGTATTTGAGAATATATTTTTGTTCGTTTTTGGTTTTTTGTCTTTGCTGTCGTTATTAATTTAAACGTGGTTTGGCCAGATATGTAGCTCAGGCATCACAAACTGAAATGTTAAGATTATCAGTTTAAAAATAAATGAACAAATAAATAAAAATTGATTAGTCTTTGTTCAGAGTCTGAGCGGGGATGAATAACAGATTGCATAAATCAGATATTGGCGGTTCTGCTTTGCCGCCCTGGGGGGCAGACACCTGTGGGGCTCTCGGCCGCAGGGGGGACAAACCCCCGCCAGGGCCCCCGTGTCGCTGCCAGAGCTGGGCACTGGCAGGGGCTGCTTCCAGCCCGGGCAGTTTTCTGAGCGTAATGAACCTGCCAAAAAGCAGCCTAGTAAAATGTCACAACTTAATAATTCCCCCAGCGCCCGAAATGAAGGCAGCAAGCTGTGATATGGGTTTTAAATGTTCTTGAGACACTGGCTGCTCCGTTATACTGTTACCCCTTTAGGGAGATGGGCAATTAGGTAATTACTTAAAAAAAACATAGAGGCCTCGTGTGCATCTTCTTTGCTGGGGACTCTGCCCATAACCTGAGTAGTCACACTCTTAGATAAACAGTTTATTAAGAACTTTATATATGATATATGTTTTAAAATATAAGTACTACCCAGGAGTTCAGTGTATTTTAACCAAAGGAATGTGGAAGAATCCTTCCTGGCCCCTTTTATTTTGTGAAACTTCTTAAGAAAATTTGAAGAGCAAAAATGATTTTGTTGATTTTTTTTTCCTTGCAATATCCCTGTTGTTTCTGATCCTATTTTCTTTGGCAGTACGGGCTTTGTATTATTCAGTGATTCCTGTTTTAGAGTTTCTAGGCACAAAAGTAGTAAAAATCAGGAATATATGTGGTTCTCTAGATAGGGAGACTGGGTCTCAAAAAGTGTGTGCTCTGAATAATTGTACTTGGTACTTATAGCACATTTTGCATACAGAGTGGGCATTTGACTTACTACATACTAACTTTGTGTGCATTAGCTAGAGAGCTTTGTACTTTGCCTCTAACAGTTTTGTATTAAGAAGACAACTATCGATAAATATAGTGAAGTGTAGGTGTTGATGGAAATAGAATTTCCTCACTAACTTTTTAGCTTCTAATTAGAGCAATTTATAATGTTGATTAGGTGTAAACTCAGTAAGATTAAACATTAATAAGGTTGCAGCAGTTCTCACATTTCAAGATGCTGTTCAGATCAGCAAGATACTTATCCCATAAAACAATAATGGTTTCTAGTGACCTATCTGCCTTTTCTTTCAATATTCCCTCTAAAAATATTACTATCTGTATTAAAAAAAAAATATTTGGCCCTGGTTAGGGGAGCTTATGTTGCAAATATTTGTCCTGATGACTTTTTTTGTTTTTGTGAAAAAGTGGGTTGGGGTGAGCATGTAACACAGAGGCTTTATTTTACATTAAGAAAAATCTGGATTTTGTCCCTGAATATGGTCAAACTGGTTGATATTCCAGTGTTTCCGTTCTCCTTTTGAGAAGCAGAGACAAGTATCACTATGTAATGTAAGACTAAAACTAACACTTCTTCTGATTCTTTTTCTAGGACTTCAGTGATTCTGGACCGTTGTTTTGAAATGCTCTTACAGAAGCTGGCTCTTGCATTGTGTTTATTGGATGAAACTCAGCTATTCACTCTCAGTGAAGTGGGTAAAAACCCTTAACTGCAGTTTACATGTGTAGGTCACTGCGTTACTGCGTTAGCCACTGTCTCTACGCAGCAATGACAAGGCTAGAAGAAGCAAACAGAGAAGTGAACATGCACTCATCTGTCAGATACCTAGGCTATCTTGCCAGAATCAACTTACTAGTTGCCATTTGCATGGGCCTTTACGTCAGATGGGAGAAAACTGCGGATGCACTGATTTTGGTAATATTTATCCTGGGGCTTTTTGTTCTTGGAATTGCCAGCATCCTCTACTACTATTTTTCAATGGAAGCAGCAAGTTTGAGTCTCTCCAATCTTTGGTTTGGTTTTTTGCTTGGCCTTCTCTGTTTTCTCAATAATTCTACCTTCAAAAATGATGTGAAAGAAGAAGCTACGAAGTACTTGCTCCTTTCTGCCATTGTTTTAAGGATATTATGTGCTTTGGTTGAGAGGATTTGTGGCTGTATCCATCACCGTCCGACTCTGCTGACAACAGTTGAATTTTTGGAACTGGTTGGATTTGCAATTGCCAGTACAACTATGCTGGTAGAAAAATCTATGAGTATTATTTTGTTGGTCATGGCTTTGGCCATGTTGATTATTGACTTACGTATGAAGTCTTTTTTGGCAATTCCAAATTTGGCAATTTTTGGAGCCCTTGCATCCTTGCTGTTTTTTCCATCTCTGAAGATTCCCACAAACCCATTTGCCTTGGCATGTTTCTTCAGTTGCCTGATTTCAGATCCTCTGCTTGATGTTTACTTCAGTGGGCTCTCAGTAACTGAACGGTGGAAGCCCTACTTGTACCGTGGTAGAATTTGCAGAAGACTTTCTGTCATCTCGGTTGGAGTCGTTGAACTTATCTTTTTTGTTCTTGCAGCCTTTAAACTAGGTGACTTGGATCTCTGGTACTTTGTGATACCTGGTTTTTCTATTTTTGGAATTTTTTGGATAATCTGTCATGTTATTTTTCTGATAACTCTCTGGGGATTTCACACAAAACTAAATGACTGTCACAAGGTATACTATACCCACAGAGCAGAAAACAACAGCCTCGATAGAGTTATGGCATCTAAAGGAATGCGTCACTTCTGTTTAATTTCAGAACAACTGGTATTTTTCAGCCTCGTCGCAACTGCTGTGTTGGGGGCAGTATGTTGGCAGGTAAATAATAATCTCTTTATCTTGATCTCCCTCTTGCAAGTGTTCCTGAGAATTGTTGGCTTTTCAAAATCGTTATGACATTTGGCATGTACTGTGGCTCAGTACTTAAAAGTTTATGCTGGAACCACGGGCTTCAAACACATGTTCTTTTAACTCTTTAACACTTTGCCTTGTGGCCTAGTTAGGTAGCTGGAGCTTACCAGCTACCTTACATGGCCAGAATGAGAAGAGCTGATACTTTAAGCACAAAAGGAGCATGCAAAGTATTTTAAGTTATAAATTTACCTATTTATGAAAATATTTTCCTTTTTAATTCATCGCACCATAAAATTTGTTTTCAATTTAAACCACAGTGTTGCACCCTCACAATGCACACTACATTTAGGACATTTCTTATGGACTATGGAACCATGGCAAACTCCTGTTTTAAGAACAGTTTTCAAGAATTTCTGTTTGAATGTAGGTGTTAGTTTTAAGCCCGAGATAGATGACAAACTGGTAAACTGTTGCTATAATATGTGCTCTAGATGCTCAATGCCTTGCTTTGCAATCTATTTATGTATCACAAGGTATATTTTCTGAAAGGCTAGTTCTTAAAATCATCCAGTCTGCTCATTTTGGACTTTGAAGGACTATGTCCTTTCTTTAGAAGAAAATACACATTTCTCTCAGAAAGTCTAGTTCAGGTCCTGTATTAAAGGCGTGTTGTTAATGTTGCAGCAGAGTAGAGTTTGGTTTTATTTTTTTTAAGATTTTGATCAAAAATAACAGACATTTTTGTATCCTTGATCCTCCAATGTATTTACAGAAAAGGTCGTGTTGCACTGAAAGCAATTATAAAGTATTTGGAGGACAGACACGGTTAATATATAAAATCAGTGTATTAACACTGGTAACCTCTGTTTCAGAGAACTCTGTGGTTTTTATATATATATATATAAAAGTAAATCATTGTTGTCTGATGGGTAGAAGTAAATCTCTCACCATATCTAGTTTGGCTTTTCTTTTGTTTTGCCCTATTGCTTTAACATCCTGAGCAGTATTAATTAGTATTATGTTATCTAAAAACACTCCACCTACTTGCACCTAGTGAAGCAGTCAGAACGAAACAAGCACATGAATTACCCAGGGAGTATCTGGAGAGAGGAAGGTCTTTTGGTGCCTTCCAAGGTGCCGTAGCTCCCTTTGGAACTAGAGTCTGTCTGCTGGAGTTAAATACCTGCCTTGGACAGGATTTAGGTGCCTGAGCGACGCGATTTCATACCCATCTTGTAACTGTTTCCCTTTTCATTTTGATAATTCTTTGTATATTTTTCCGTCTCTGTCATATGTCTAAAAATAATTGCAGCTGTGTATATGTTTGATTGTTTTCAGGCATCTCTAATTCTGAAGAAGTGCTGTTGCACTTAATGCTGAACAGAGTTCACAAGACACAAGTAGGCAGCTCACTTGAAATCCTACTGCTTGTTGTTGGCTAATTTCAATTTCTAGCATCCCATTGTGTAAATAAGATAAGCTGATCTTCATGATCTCTGTCTGGCACACTATGTATGTATTCAGTAGGAAAAGGAATAATTGAAGATTGCGGTGGCAAGAATGAAAGGCATCAAACAAACTACCTCTCAGAAAAAATATTTTTTTCTATGATCATTTATGTTTTTTAGTAGAAAATTATATTTCTTTTCATTTCACCCTTTTAATCCTTTATTTATAGTAAAGCAACTACAGAATTAGCTTTACACTGACTGCAGTTGTCTCCAACTGGAAGCACTTCTACCTCAGCCGTATCATGTTAGTCTTGCAAATCGCTCTATTGCCTATTTCATCTGCTGTCAGAAAGTGAAATATGTTGTCAGACACGACTGGGATACAAGTTTGTAGATGAATTTACTTTATAATGTGATGGTTGCAAAAAGCTGTGGACTTTTCTATAGTTTTCTGACTAGTACCAAAATAATTGTAAGTTAGAAAGCAATGATATATTAGCACATGGTTAGCACTATTGCAGGACATGTTATTTATTTATTTATTTATTTTCAAAATTAAAGAAACCAGTAATTTTCCTTCTTTATAGTGGGTAGTTATAGACCTCAAGACATTACTTCAGAATTCTCTGCTGGACTTCTTTAGTCTGCTATTCACAGGAGTTTGAGCAAGCTCAACGGTAACACAGCAAGAAATTTCTGCAGCAAATGAGTACATGCCTTAGGATTATTTACTCATATTTTAAAAGCTAAAGAGACAAATCAGACTGTCAGAGACTTTCTGTGTTTCTCTTAGGAAAAGCAGGAGCTATTACTAAGTGCTTAGTGGGTTGTTGTTTGCTTGGGATTTTTCTTAGAAATCCCTGTTGTACAAAAAAGGTAATGACATCAGGATGTAGCAGGAAATGATCTTATGTTGGGTGCCTTCCTATGAAAACTTCACCTTGATGCTATTAGTGATCAAAAAACAAATTAAACATTGGGAATTATTAGGAAGGACTAGATGTTTCGTTTTGTTACTGTATCAATCCATAGTTTCAGTATTTTGAATAATTATGCAACTGTTAATTCACATCTTACAGATCAAAAAACAGGAGAAGGCTCACAGAAGGGCAGCATATAGACATGAAACAGTTTCCATGTAGGGATTGACTAAGCTAGGGCCGTTCTGTATGGAAACAATAGCTAAGGGGATATATGGTGAAGATACAAAATATTACGTGTGATGTGAGAGAACGTAAATAGTAAGAAACAAGAAACAATCAGTTCCAAAGCAAAAGTTAAGAGGAATCAAGTTGACAGGAACTAGTTCTTCATAGAGACTCTGCTTAACACAGGTAATACCTATCATAGAGTGCTGTGCTGTGTGTGCTGAGAGACTCAAGAGAGAATTGTACAAGTTCATGGAAAAAATCTGCCAAGAGTTACTTACTACGTAGAAGCCATGTCTGGCTTAGGAAGCCCTTTGGCCACCCTCGGTTAGAGGTTGGAGTACTCAGGAGACACCACGTGTGTTTGGTGGTTGCATTTAAAAATGGAGTACCTGCTTTTCGGTAGGATATGCTCCAGTTGTGGCATGGTTGGCGTCTGAGAATAATCCCTGCTTTGGCTGAGAAGGAAAGATGCCCTTTTGTGTGGTTTTAGTCAGATCCGTAGACTCTTTAACATCAGTAGTTACTTGGTCAGTTCAGCAATTGCTCATGTGCAATCAAGCCCCTGACTGGAACTCGATCGAACAGAAATCATGCAAACGATGGGCACTCAGAAACTAATAAAATGATGAGAAGCTTGCAGAGAAAGGCCTTTGAATTTGCAAGCAAAGTTCTTGGAAAGATTTGGGGGAACCTTTTCTCAGAAACTTAAAATCAGATTTTGTTAAGTGATCTAGGCTGAAGAAATGGTACTGATTTTTTTCTGAATTACTCACCCAAGAGAAATATTATCCCTAGAAGGCTTTTATTTAATATTACTGAGGGAAAACAAACTATATCAGAAATAGGTAATGTATTCAAGTACTTGGAGTACAATATCCTTGTTTCTAAATAATTTTATGGACTGGTAAAATAATAATATAATATATAGGAGTAACTGTACTTAAAGGTATCTCAACTCAAACTATTCATGGAAAAAGGTACAGTTTGTTTCAGGTATATTTTCTTGTTTCTGAATGAGTTAGTTTTGCATTCCCCATGCTATATTGCCTTGCAAAAGTTTCTGAAAAACTCAGCTTACAGTGACTTTAATAAAATTTATAATGAATCTTTTTTTACTTTCCAAAAAACAGATTACTTTCTAAATAGTAAGGTTCTTTCCTAGTTAACCTCTGTATTTACTTATTTGTACTTTTGTTAACATCTCAGATTAATATATGCAAATTATACAAATTGATATACAAATTAAATCCACTTTTTCTTCTATCATTTTCTTCTTCTTTTTTTATTGTCTTCTATTTTCATTTCACTCTTCCTTAGGTTTTATTTGTCTAGTTTAAATATGTATGTATTTTTTTTCTCCTTGAGGCCCTCTTGTATCCTGTGTCCGCTCTCTATATTTTGACACAAATGCCACAACAAGCTGTGCATTTTGTTTTTCTGTCTTTCTGTGTTCATCTTTACTTCCCCCTGTTCTTTTCTTCGCTGTTAGTTTTTCCCTTTCTTTCTGATTTAACTTCAGTGTCTCACTTTTTGTTTATAGATTGTGTGTTCAGTTTTGTTTTCCCTGCCATTTCATCTCGCAAATAGATCCTGCATTCCCCTTTCTCACCACTAGTCTTTTCTAAAACTCACCCTTACCCAGTCTTTTTTTGCCGCCTGTCTCCCTCTTGTGCCTGTGCTCAAGCCCTCATCTTGGCTGCCTGCAGCTGCCGCAGAATCTGTAGACTCCATATAAGACTTTTTTTTAACTAGATTTTAAGCTCAAGGCATTCCGCGTTATCATAATGTAATAGGGAGTGATTGGTTATGTTCCTTTTGCCTGTTTTGAATGTATGTCACACGAATTCAAAAGCAAATAGATGTTCTTTCTCTGCACACACTTTGCAAAATGCTGGGGATTCAGCACCAATGTTACTTTGTGACAGGAGAAAGAAAATATCCATTGTTACTTTAAAGAATGGATTTTCTGCGTTACGTTTCACTGTCAGCCTCAATATTTCAGAATTCAAATTTTTATATTCAAATCTCAAAACTTATTTTACTGTATTTTTAAGTTGAAAGCCATCTCCATTTTTGCTGTATTTAATATACTAAGGCTGATGCATGGTCTGTGATTAGAATGGAAGTCAGAGCCTGGCAACATAACACATTAAAATCAGTCTGCCAATGTGAAGACTCCTTTCTTCAAAATATTTTCTAGACTTTCTCAGTGATATTCTAATAGTCAAAATAATGTGTAATTGTTCTCCAGAGACTATTCTTTCATTAAATGATTTGTTTTTAAGGATGTTTCACTTGGTGGATCTGCATTATAATTTTGCTAATTTTGTCTTTTATCTCCTCTTTATTTACCTGTAATGTATACTTCCTGTTTTCCTTTGGAATGAGATGCCCTTCAAACATTTGCAGATCAGTTAGTTACCTTTGTTATCCATTTTCC